TTTATGAGAGAGTAAATTGAGTTTAAAATGTATGCCAATATTTAATTGAAGGTTAGATTATAGATGTATTGGCCTTCAGTCCACAGACTCATGAATTGATCGTTTAATTTGATTGTCATTTAATGAGCGATGAATTAATCGTATAAACCATATGAGAGAGAGAGAGAGAGAGAGAGACGAAGAACTGAATGCCTTTAACATCTGATATCTGTAACCCTTGAGCGAAGACTAAGTCTTAAGTCCTTTTAGATCTTAACACGACTCATGTCTTATCTTTTAATGGATTTTTTTAAAAGTGATAATTAATTTAATAAAAAGTAACAGCAAAAAGTTTTAAAACTGAGTTTTATTTAAATATATCATTACTAATGTCTAATACATTTTAACTGAATATAAATGTTGTGATAATACATGTATAGGTGTCGAAGTGCTTATGAGAATCGGATCCATCCATCAAACGAGTCTGCGGTGAACGAAACGCGCGAACAATTATCGCAATTATTTTCCGATCGCTTCATAAGAAATACGGACAATAATAATGAAAATAATGTTAATTTAGTCAACTCTAATCACTACGGAATGGATAATCACTGTCCCGTCTGTTTAAATGAACCCCGATTTCCCATCGAAACCAATTGTGGACATCTCTTTTGTGGTATATTTGCATCATTTTATATTATTTATATTAATATTATAATGTATCATTAGAAATTAGAATTTTATAAATAAATTTTATTTATTAATTAATTTAGTTTTTAAAACCAGTTATAAATGATATATATCACAGTATATACTGATTAAGTTGATAGTTTAGAAATAATTCTTACGGTATAAGCAATTTATAATAATTTAAAAAATAGTCATTTATTTGATATAATAATTTTGTAATACATTTTTAATGTTCAACATTTGATATAAGTATGAATTGCCGTTAACTACAGTAACTTTAGTTATAATTATAACTCAAGAATCTTGAGAATATTTTGGAAAATTTTAGTACATTTTGTAGTCATTAAACAGACACTAACTTTGAAATACATGTCTATCAGATATACCGTTATCTCTAATGCCCTAATTTGTTATATGTTTGTCTCCCTATTTATAAATAACACCCAAATAATGAGTTATATATTGAATATTAACAATTAATGTTATGATTGCAAACATATAGCGCAATGTCTGATCGTGTATTGGCGTCACGGGCAGTGGAGGGGCGGCCCAATCAAGTGCCCGGTGTGTCGCCAACAGGTGAGCATATTGTTGCAGTGCTTCCCTCCGAGTACCACAGTATCCGAAGAAGAACTCAATGAAAGGGCGCGTATTTTGCATGACGTGAATGATTATAATAGAAGATATTCAGGAGCGCCCCGTCCGGTAAAGTTATGGCTGCCGGCCTTCGAGTCCTTAAACACATTTCTTGATCTCATTTAAAGCTAATACATGTCTGTATTTTCTACTCAAACGAACAGTTAATCGATTATATTTACGATTTACCGACACTTTTGCGTCACTTAACGTCAGAGTTCTTCACAGTCGGAGGACTTATGTATATGTTTAGGATTCGCATTGTTTTGTGTTTTGTCGCCGCAATCATGTACTTAATATCGCCGTTAGATATGATACCGGAGGCCGTGTTTGGCCTCTTCGGACTCCTCGATGACATATTTGTGGTCTTATTGCTCGCCATTTACGTCACTATCATTTATAGACGATTTTTATCAACGAGATGGGAAGACGAGACTCAATAACACACACTATACCATCACACCATCAGTGATGGCAATCACCACAACGCCAACTAATACCACGTTTAATAAAATTGATATTTCAAATGGCTTTCGCCTAGTCTTTAGTTCACTACTTATCATAAATTATATGTTTATATATTTGAAGCATAATTTTGATCTCTATTTTGTGACACATTAATCAATTGTTATATCTTATGAAATGAACATATTTTTAGCTCAAATTAATCTAAACTATTTTACATTATTCTTAAAAGTACGACATTTTACTTGGTATTAGAGATCAAAATTTAATTATTTCAGTGCCTAATAAATGAATTAATGGATCGGTTCAGAGGTATCGGCTATTATGGTGTGATTTTCATTGAAGTCATTATATTGAATGATAACGTTATTTGCGTTTAATTATTATTAAAATTCCTATCAATTTAAGAGCTTTACTCGTTTCCACCAGCAATGATGTCCACCGATAGTGTGGCAGGAATTTTGTTTACTATCTTTTTGCAATTTCCACACAAATGTATACAACTTTTTCCATTCAAAGCAAACGCCAATCAATTTTATGTACTGTTTGTTATTATCGTTGAAATTTAATATCTATTTTATTGGACAGACTGTTAAATATCTGTCGAAACTGTGATTCAGTGAAAAACAATCTTTTGTGAAACGTTTTGAAATTTAAAAATAGGTTTACGTTTTCTTATATAATGTTTTTTCAATTCATTATTATTAAAAGTTTACAATATTGTTGAATCTCTCCGTAAGAAATGATCATTTGGTTATTCAAAGTGTTTATTATAGTATTTAAATGTCATTTTTGTAATTCAAATTTTGTTAACTTTAGAATTCTTTTAAATTATTAGGTTTCGATGAAAATAATTGTTAGTTTGTTAGAATAGTTACTGTATTATTATTTAAATGAGACATATTTTGCTTTTCATAAATATAGTGTACTGTATAGAGAATGTTGGGTTAGCATGTCGCATGGGTACGCGGAATTGAAAGTTTCATAAACAAATATATTTAAATATAAAATATCTTTTAAACCATCTACTGGATTTAAAAATGGATTTCATATCATTAATCATCGTTAAATTCTACATCTAATTGATGTATCATTTATAATAAATTACATAAATAATGTTTTTCGAACAAAAGTTCTAAGTCGAATAAGTCGAAAAATATTCGAGATAAAAAATTTTGGATATCATATTTGATTTTAGCGTTAAATTTCACTATAAATTTAATATAAAATATATTTGTTTACGAAACTTTCAATTCCGCGTACCCATGCGACATGCTAACCGAATGTTGTCTATTGTTTGTCATAGTATTTCTTACGCCACGGAATCGCTTCTAAAAGAGACCTTTTTGTGTGTTAGTAGACATTGGAGTAGAAAAATGACAGCAAAAGGTTTGTGAAGAGTTTCTTATCGGAGGTTTTCGACATTAATGTATATTTTGTTTAACTATACTATTATTATAACCAAATAAAATAATTTAAAACAAATATAACCATATGATTGAATATTTATTAAATTTCAAGTGTTTTATTAAAATATGGTATTTTAATTTATATTGCAAACATTTTAATAAGATTAGATTTTTAATAATTAAAATTTATAGAATATTCTTTGAGTATTAATAAGTTCTTAAAATAATACTCGTTTCATATATTCTCGAGTCCGGAATCAAGATTGTATTGAATGCGTGAATATTTCAAGAGTTTTATATTTGTGTGAAAAAGTGAAAACTAATTAAATTTACAACAACTCAACAAAGAGTCAAAATATTGGGATAACTTTTGGATTACAAAACAAAAAAGCAATTTATTAAAGATATTAATCACAAATGCATTGATGGGTGAAATTCTTGTATCAATATATAAGAGGCAATTCTTGAGCACAGAATCAAGTGTTGAATCAATCAATGAAATTAGTTGTAAGAGAGAGAGAGAGAGAGAGAGAGAGAGAGCATTAAAAATTGACCAATGTAATGTGTGGTTGCATGAAAAGATAATAAACATAAGTAGAAGAAATGTTGGTTTTTTAAAAGCTAAAAGCAATTGTTTTAAAGAAATGTTTGCGACAATAAAATGATACAAAAATCTAGACTAACGCCAAAATAATAAG